AGATTGGAACTTATTACTTTTTATGTTTTAGTACATTATTTTAATATCTCTTAGAAACGTTTTATCATCCATAAAATGCAAATTTTGTCTATTTTTGATTTTTTTAATAATCATATACTTTCCTTATGGGGTAATACAAAAGACCCGAAAATAATAATTCTAAGTAAAACTAAACAATAAATGAGTATTTTTTTATTTTTAACTAGAATTTCATGTTTATATATCTACATAAAAAAACATTTTAATTTTGTTTCATAAATGTATTTTTATTTCAAGTTTATGTTTCATTGCAGCTGTACTTTTGTTTATTGTGCCGAATAAACCATAAGGTTAGCAGCGTGAACTTTGTACATTAGCCATAAACTATCATGCCTGTTGGTGGTCACTTTTGTTCAGTCCAGCACAAGCACATTTGAACATTACTGTAGATATTATAGTAAGAAAGCTTTTTGGTACTTGAATATCATTTCTTTGAATTTTCAAATAAGTTTATTTCAACATATGTCCGTGTATGTTGTTTCACTATAGAGACAAAACTAATTGCCGCTTCTAGTGAATGTATGTAACAGTTTACAGTACAGGTAGTTTCAATAAACACCGCCTGACCCTAGTTACTTGATACATCCTGTTAGCAGAGATTACCAAATGATACAGACACCATAAATTACAAAGAAATTTACTTTACAGCACTTAAAATATTAGTTCTGGTCACATTCCTCTCATTGTAGGCAAGATTTATGTTGGAATTCGAAACTTAAGCTCTTCAGTGTATTGAAACCCCAACTGTGAGAGTGTCATAGCTTCCTTGTATTTATTGAGACAAATGTATTCAGTCTGTTTCACAACCAACATATGTTGTCACTTGTACACTGAGTTTTAAACCATTTGCAAAATATCAGAATAAACTTTTTATATATCAGTTAGACTGTTTTAATTATAAAGCAATAGTGACAGAAGTGTGGGTCTTACTACAAAGTAAAGATAGAAAGAAGGAGAAATATAAAAATTTTACTTGGAACTGGTACTAGTAGTAGTACGTACCAATCACATAAGTTTATCATTCTAAATATTGAATCATATTTTTATTATAAATTAAATATAATAACTCACCACTCGATAGAGCTTAACCCTAACATTCGTGGATGAACTTTTTTCCTAAAAATATTTATATTTTGAGTTAATTTTTAATATAATGATTAATATAAATAGATATATAATACAGCAAAACTTAAGCTACTATAGAAAAATAATAAAGTCACATACATCCTATGCAGTTCTTTCCAGAAGCAAATTTTCTAACATATATATATATATATATATAATTACTATTGACAATACTAAATACAACCTCTACAATAAAATGGCAGTTACTATAATAAGCACCCTTCATATTG